TAGCTGTAACGTGCGATTAATTGTACTTTTACGCGTCATAATTTCTTCCCTCCGTTCTTCTTATGCACCGTTTTCTTACGCGGGGAAAAAACATTGAATCGTTCGCATGTAGTAGAACAAACGCGCTTTCAGATTAAAGAGCTACGATACTCTCTTTCGATATATTTCTCAACCTCGATGTTTATCTAGAATGACTACGTAAAGACTGCGGAGATCCCGAGAAATAATCAAATAGGCGTCTCTCTTAGACCGATCGACCAATGGCAATAATTCATTAAATATTTTAACTGCGGTAACTCATTAAATATTTTTTGTCGCATTGCGTGCGGAGCTCTCGCGAATATATTTATCGCGGTCTTTTCGATACCAGAAGGGAAGATGCACATGGGGTAATTTTTTTTCCTTCCCTTTGATAATGCTAACGCACTCGTATATCGTTAATAAAAAATATGATCTATGCGTGAAGGTAAATGCGAAGATGTGTACGTTCGCTGGTTGCTCGTATTTCAGCAAAGTTTACAAAGTTTAAGAGCTAGAAGCATCAGAAGACCAATGTGTAATTTGCTGCGGCATAATTATGAGATAATAATATAATAATAATAATAATAATAATAATATAATAATAATTATTATTATTATTATTATTATTATTATTATTATTTTTACTTGTGCGATTTCTATAGATCCATTTTCGTCGATCAAAAAGCAAGATATTAATTTGACCACCTAATTTGTAGAGTCAAAAAATTAAAATTCTGTCATTCATGACAATTATTATATTATTTACTTAAAAGAGAGAAATAAATATAAAATGTAATGAGTAAATTCCTCAAGATGCACGTAAGTAAATCAAATCTCGTAGATTATTCTTTTAAGAATTTAGTATTTGCAAGTGAAATCTTATTCAAAAGAACCAGTGGTGGCTTCTCGGTGAAATATCAATGAAACATAAGACAGAACAAAGTGTGAGTACTTTCATTGAAAAAGAAGAAATGCTCACTGATGTTGAGTAAAATCTTGTCTTTGCTTCAATTAGTTCAGTGTTTCACTCATACTTTCATTGATTAAATTTGAGAAAGATATTCAATTTTCTGTATATATATTATATTTAGTATCTAATAATTTAATTTAGTATTAATAATTGAATGTAAAATTTAAATAATAATAATATTTGGAAGAATAATTCACTCACATACACAACATGGAAAGCATCACAAATGTTATAATTTTATTTTTGAGATCTTTTGCTTATATAAATATGTATAGATACAGATAACCAGAGTTTAGAAACACGGCGTTGAATAAACCTTGACCCAAACAGCACGTCATCACGAACACGAATTGCGTAGCTATATCAGTTTGTACTTGCGTATCGTGCTTATAACGAAGGGATATTCCATTTTCATCATGAGGGGCAGCAGCTCGGCCATTCGATCGGTGACGTCGGCCAAGAGGATACCAAAGACATATACCAATCCGGACATTGTGTGAAGAATAATTAGTTCATTGTAAATACGGCTCGATAGTTTCGCTTTGCGTGCTGTTTCGTGCAATATAAACACACCGTTGTCACCTAATAGTTCCAGTCTTCCGTTATCGTCGTTAAATTCTGATAAATTCTCTGCACAAACGATTTAATATTTTGTTTTCAAATATTTCGGAACATTGGCAGAGATATTTTCTTGATAGTGTAATTTTTTTATATGAATTTTTAATTATAAAATACTGTGTAGGAATGTTCTCTCTCTCTTTGTCAAAAACGGATATAAAAAATAATTGAATGCGCACACAGATATAATTGATATAATTTATATTGACAAAATAAATGAAATATGTGTTTAATTACTGTTTGGTTTCATCTTAAATGACTATCTTGCATAATTAGAGATGTTATTATCGTAGGAATTGTTTTATAATATTTTTATATAAAAAATATATTTAATTAATAATAAACGTAAATATTAGTTGTAACTTTGCTCACTTTGTAGAGATATCTATATCATGACTTATCTTTGTTTTAACGAAAAGATAATGACTTTAAAAGTCATTATTTTCTCGTTAAGTTAACTTTAAACATTGAAGCTGTTCAAACAGTCCATTAAGTCGAAATATTGTCGACGTAAAAATGTGTCATAAAATATTAGTAGTGCAAAATTGTTGGATCAATACCGTAATTACCTAAAATAATTTATACAAGAACGCGTAATATACCCGGCCAGACACGAAATGCGATGAGTAAAATTTCTGTCGTGTCATTGTATGTCCACTGGTCATAATCCTCTTATTTTTCTTTGTGTTTTTATCTAACAAAATCGGGAAATTAAGATTCTTAAGAAATCATATTTTTCAATTGATGTCTGCGGAAAATTTTTATAAATCGCAAACTTTTAAGAATATTGTGAGGCGATCGGTATTCTTAATCGATCGACCAACGGACGTGTTTATATACTTTTATCTTGCTGCGTGCAGATTATACGAAGAGGTATCTTGCAGCTTTAAGAAAAAAGAGAGAATACAGATAGGGTCATTTTGTTTTTTTTTTTAATGCGCACTCACGAATAATTTACTTAAATATATAATGATCTAATGGACGCGCATAAGCAGTGGTGTACATGCGCATCTGCAGCTACCCTTGTAAAAATTTTAAAATCAAGTAGAATGGAAAAAAAAAGAACTTGAGCGAAAGAAAAATGCATCATGTAATAAGCGCATAAAATATTATTTGGCTGTCTTAATTATTTTTGTAGAATTATTTCATTTTTAGATGAGGAAGGAAAATGAAGTGTCTGTCGAAGAATTTCTTATGTATCTTATACATACAAGAGTTCATCGTACACTAGTGTACTGTTTTAGAAAATTAATTTTTTACATAATTAAATTTTGATTAGAAGGTGCCTAGTCAAATATTTGATAACTATTTGATAAGATGGTCGCGAGTTAAATGCAAAATAAGTGTAAATGGATCTTTACAATCATAATTAAGCAGCCGTTTTTGACATATGAGATAGATGTTCTAAATTAACAGTATTCCAACATTACTTTTTTAGTATAAATATTAAATGTTATCAAACAGTAAAGATGCAATTTGAGAAATTGAATAAGATTAAATAATTTTAAAGTGATATTATATATTATAAAAGATTCGAAATAATCATTTAGTTTTTTTTACAGTTGTCAGCTTAAATATGATATAAGTTACAATTATAAATCAAAGATTCGAAACATAAGACGATGCATATTCAGGAAATGTTTGTTCTTTTGTTTCTCTCAAATAGTAAGAAGAATTGAATATCACAATCTATTAAATTATTGTGATGTGATCTGTCAATTAACATGACATTTTCGAGTTATCGATTTACACGCGCAAAATAAATACGAATTGCATGACTCTTTTGAAAAGTAAAAGTACGATAGTATAGTTATATTAATTTTTACTTAATTTAAATTGCAAATTATTATATCTAGTACACAAATAATTTAAAAAATGTTTTGGTTAATTTTACTTTTTTTTTACAACTAATAATATATATATATATATATATATATTTTAATTTTTTTAGACGTGGCTAATAGTATATAGGATGCTGATGTCTTTACAATTTATAATGAGAATGATCTTATTAAGCGCGGATGAAGATAATCCATTAATATATGTGTATATATGACAGATACAATCAAGTTTCGATATATGAAATAATGATATTCCATTGATGACACGAAATACAATAAATAATTATCGGCAATAATAATGTGCACAAAAGTAAAAATAAAGTAGTAGAGCTTACGCTGGTAAAACGTTTAAACAACGGATCCATAATCTTCGTAGTTGTTAATCGCATTTGCGATCTCAATATCAAAAACGATACTGTTCGTCTCTTTTTCATGTGTATATTGCATTAAAGAGATTTGTAAGTCACATCTCCGACATGTTAATTCTAAAGCTAATTGAAGCTAAACAATATATTATTTCTTATACATATAATTTACAAATAAAACACAAAAAAAAAAAGTATTAAATTGAAAAAATATAAAATTAAAGCTGATAGCTTTCATTAATTTCGTACGTCATACGTCACATTGTTAAGTTATAATTTAAATATAAAAATTAATTATATATACACACTCTGTGTGTGTAAAAATAAAATTTTTCTTGCATTTATGCAAGAAAAAGAATTCACGAAAAGAAATAATTAAGTATTGTTTTCTTTTTTTCGGAAATATATTTTGCATATATTGTTACTTTCTTTCTTATATTATTATATTTATTCATCAAAAAGTATATACTTAAAATATATATATATATATATATTTGGTGTTTTTTTTCTCGATACGTTTTTCTAATCAGTGATAAATTATTCTACACGTTAATTGGTTGATTTATTTCATCTCAACTACCGAACTACCGCGTAAAAATGACTATATAGATTATATTCTTAGAGTGCTTATTTCATCGCCAACAGTACTGACAAGTAGGATCCAGAGGCTTTCATGATCTATAATAATGTTGCTTTTGTTAAAATAGAGAAATACAAGATATATTATTATAATATTATATAACAATTTCTATACATGGTAAAAAATATATAATAAACATATATGTATACAAGTACGCAATCGTATTCAAAGAAAAAATATTTTTCTTTTATAATTTCTTACATTAGTAAAACATTCCAAAGAGAGATCCATCATTTTGCCAACCGTGAACCTCAATTTTCTCTGCGATCTTACAATTATAAACAATAAAGTACGACTGTCTGTGCTTTTCATATCGTACCAATCAGAATTATATGCCGCGTTTCCGATCGCAGTGCTCTACAAAAGTATAAATAACAAAAGATATTACTCTATATATTATGTGTGTTCGTTTTTACAATACATTATTTTTAATATCCCAAATTATTTTTAATATCCCATATCTCAATCACGTCGTATACAATTGATATTGTAACAATGATCTTTTTAGTCGCTAACCTTGTTGCTCAGGTACTCTCCTGCAAAACAGAAAATAAACGCTTCGAGGTTCGTTACAGCATAAAATAAGAGAGATCTTATTATCTGCTCGGTGGCGTCAGGACTGCCGATTGCCTATCGAGAAAATAAATATAGAACGTATTTTCGAAATTAGTAAGCAGTTGTTTCATGCATCAAATAATATACATATAATAATTAATTCGCGTAGTATAAGTAAGTAATGAAATAAATATTACATTAATCAATTGATTTAACAGAAAATAGATATTTTTATTTCTAGACTTTGGACAATTTCACTCACGGTTACAATGAGAAATGCTAATGAGCAAATCATTATTGTATTCGATGCGAAATGCAATAAAGCGATGTATGAATAGAGATTTTCAATTTTTTCTGAAAAGCTAATAATTTTTTGATGTTTCTGAATGATTTTCGTTATTCTTGCGATCTCTATAGGTCCAGCTTCCGACAACCAGTAAAGCAAGATATTTATTTGACCACCTATATGTAGAGTCTAGAAATAAATATTCTGTCATTGATGACAATTATTATAACTGTTTACCTAAAAGAGAGAAAGAAATATAAAAATGTCATATGAGAAATTTTGCCAAAGTGTACATAAGTGAATCAAACCTCGCATATTTTTTTTTTAAATAAAATATTACAAGTAAAATCTCATTCAGATTAGGCGGAGGTTTTTCAGTAAAATATCAATGAAATATAAGACAGAACAAAGTGTGAGCATTTTTACTAAAGATCAATGAAAGAGAAGAAATGTTCACTGATCTTCTGTAAAATTTTGTCTTTGCTTCAATCAGTTCTCCAGAGCTTCAATCACATTTTCATTGATTGGATTTGAGAAAGATATTTAATTTTTCTCTATATATTATTTGGTATTTAATAATTTAATATCTAATAATAAAATATTGAATAATATAATATTTAAAAGGATAATTCGCGCCCAATAGAACAGCATCATATATTTGTTTTTTTACTTATTTTTTATGATACTTGCTTATATGTGGATGCAGGTTACCAGAGTTAGAAACACGGCGTTGAATAAACCAGCCCCCAAACTGCACACCATCACGTACACGAATTGCGTAGCTAACACGAGTCTATACTTGCGTAGCGTGTCTATAACGAAGGGATATTCCATTTTCATCATGAAGGGCAGCTCGGCCGTTCGATCGGTGACGTCAACATCGGCCAGGAGGATACCAACAACGTATGCGAACGCGGCAATTGTGTGAAGAATAATTAGTCCATTGCAAATACGGCTCGATAATTTTGCTTTGCGTGCAGTTTCGTGCAATACAACACCGTTGTCACCGCAATAGCTCCAGTCTTCCGTCATCGTCGTCAGAATTCCGATGAATTCTCTGCGAATCATTTAACATTTTGTCTTTGAACATTTTGAAACAGTTGCAGAGACATTTTCATGATAGTTTTTTTACATAAAATTGTAATTTACGAAATTGTAGGAGTTGTTTTTTTCTCTTTTTGTTAAAATCAAAAACGTGTATAAAAAATAATTGGATGAATGTGCGGAAATATAATTGGCAAAAGATAAATGAAATATCTGGGTTTTGTTTTCTTATCCATCTTAAATTATTATCTTACGTAATTATTTGAGCGAATGAAAGATGTCATTATATTTTAGTAATTCTTTACGCGAATATATAGTATATTTAAAAATATACTTTAATTATAATGTAATATAAATATTAGTCAGAACTTGGTTTACTTGTAAACTCTAAATTGCAACTTACCTTTGCTTCAACGAGAAGATAATGACTTTAAAGGTCAACTTTACATGTGCCAAGAAGCTACTCAGACAGTCCATTAAGTCGAACAGATTGTTGACATTAAAATGTGTTACAAAATACCGGTAGTGGAAGAATTGATTGATCGCTAACGTAATTACCCAAAACACTCTGTACAACAGAACGCATGATATTCCCGGCCAGACACCGAATGCGGTGAGCAAAAGTTCTATCGTGCGATTAATTGTACGTCCACTGGTCATAATTCTCGTATTTTTCTTTGCGTTATCGGCTATATACAAGTCGGGAAATCAAGATGTACGTGGTTAAAACAGACACGTTTCAAGTATAAGAGACATATACTCTTAAGAAAATTATATCTTTCAACCGCAGCCGTCTCGATGTACGCTGCAGAAAATTTGCCTGAAGACTGGAAGCTCTTAAGAGCATCGTGAAGCGATCGCTATCTTGGACGATTGACCAATGGGACGTGTTCATTAAATATTTTTATCCCGCTGCGTGCAGGTCATACGAAGTGTTCCGTATTTCTTGCAGCTTAAAGAAAAGAGGGAATACAAATTGGATCATTTTTTTCTCTCCCATTAATGCGCACTCGCGAATAATTTACTTAAATATATAATGATCTAATGGACGCGCATAAACGTCAGCGCATCTTCAGCTACCTTTGCAAAAATTTTAAAATCTAAAGAGTGGAAAAGAAAAAGTAGAGACCCGAGAGAAAAAGCAAAAGAAAAATGCGTCACGTAATAAGAGCATGAAATATTATCTAGCTGTCTTAATTTTCGTAGAATGTTATTTCTTGATGAGAAAAGAAATGGAGTATTTGCCGAAGGATTTTTTATGTACTCTGTACGATTCGCCCTACTTTCTTTTAATAATTCAGTGCGTAGTCGTCGTGTATCTTACCCTAGTGTATACCAAACTTGCTCGCTGAAGACCTCGTAATGAGTTTATTAGATACGATTTGTTATTCAATCCATTATTAAATTAATAATAATTTCTCAAAAATTAATTTACTTTCCTTAGATGATGTCTAGTCAAATATTTGATATGTGTTGAATAAGTCGATTGCGACAATTATATGCAAAATAAATGTAAATGGTATTTTGCATATAATTGTATTTATATATGTAATCTGTTTTTGACATATGGTGGTTTGTTTTAAATTAACGGTGTTGCAACAGTTTTTTTTTTATATAAAAGTTTTAAAATATTAAACAGTGGGTGCAACAAAGAATAATATTATATAAAATAATTTAAAAATGATATACGTGTTAAAAGACTCGATAATGACTCACTGTTTTTTTATCTTACACACCGAGCTAATTACAATTATAAACGAAAGAAACATAAAGAAGGTCCATATCCAGGAAAAGTTTTTGCTCTTTTACTTTCTTTAAATAAATAAAGAGAATTGAATATCACAATCTGTGTTAAATTATCATGATGTGACATCTCTCAATTAACATGACATATATTTCGAGTTATCGATTTATGCGCAAATGAATGTGTAATTGCATGATTCGTTTGAAAAGTTTGAAAAATACAATTACATTAATTCTTATTTTATTTAAACTGGAAATTATTTTTAATTATTTAACACACATAATTAAATTTTTTTATTAATTATTAATATATTAATCAATTTTCGCACATTTATACTATATAACTATATTAATCGTTTTTACGTATTTATAAATCATTAAAAATATATATTAACCATTTTCTCTTTAATATAACATTAGCATGATTGATACGTAGAAGTTCGTTGTAAAAAAATATTACATATTTATCGTTAAATTGATAATATAGAAAATATAGAAAATTGAATTAAGAAATATAAAAAAAGATATAAAACATATGTACGAGCTTCTAAAATCGATGACCGCGCAAATGATTTAGCAGTAAGCGATTTGCTTTAAAAATTCAATCGATCGTAAATGTATAGCACACATACACAAATACATATTTCACGTTAAATTCACGAGATGATGAGACATTTGACAAACGTGCAATCAAGGGAAAGTTGAAGAGGGTGACGTGCGGATAGAAGAATAACATCGGAAAGGGAGAATGAAGAAAACATGCAGAGAGACTATAAGTATACGAAAAGAAATAAAAAACATGAACGTATGTGTGAAAAATAATGTTTCAAGTGAGAATAGAAGCAAAAAATGAAAACAAACATCAATGAAAGATAGAAATATGAAAGAATAAAAAAACTGTAAATGTAGAATAAGATAGAAATATGCAGATAAAAACATGGTTAATAGCAATGCGTACATGTACTGATAATGTCAAAAATTAATACAATTAATAAAAATTAAAAATAGAATAGTATAGAATAAACGCGATTGGAGTGGAGGAAAATATGCGGAATGACGCATATAGAAAAGAAGTGCATATAAATTATTGTTAATTTTCAAGATATAAATTGTTTTTAATTAATTATTAAAACACTTAATTACACTCTTTTTTACAATTAAATATAATTAATTTTCTAAGACAATGCTTAATAAGGCAATTAGTATATAGGAATACTGATGCTTTTTACAATCTAATAGAATTATCTTGTGAAACGCGGATAAAGAAATTATATTTATATAAATACGACAGATAAAATAAAGTTTCGATACAGATTCATAAAATAATGAAATTCCATTGATGACATGAAATAAATACAATAAGTAATTATTGGCAATAATAATTGCGCAAAGTAATAAAATAAAATAGTGAAAGATTACACTGATAAAATATTCCAACGACAGATCCATAATTTCTCGATTATTGTCATTAATTTTTTTTTTGATCTCAATATCAAAGATGATAGCAGCTTTTCTGTTCACGTGTATATTGTATTAAAAAAGATGTGTAAAAGCACGAAAGAAGTAATTATATTGAGAAAAATATACGACGTACAAAAGTAAAAACTGATAATTTTCATTAATTTCATACGCCATACTGTAGAATGCCAAGTTAATTTAAATATAGAAATTAAATTTTATATGTAGTGTGTTGCACGATTGCTAAGAAAGATCGTGTTTCTAGCAGTTGTTAATTAAATGCCACTTGTTGCAGAACTGCAATGTTTGTAGACGATTTCGAAAAAACGTAACATCACTAAATCAAGTTAACATTACGTTAATCTTGGTACTCAGGTATTCCCTGGCGAAGCAGAAAGTAAATGCTACGACATTCATGACGATGCAAAACTTCATCATCAGCAGAGACTTTATCAAGATCGCAGAAGCGTCTAAGCTACTGTTTATTGACTGCAACATCATTTGTATTTTAAACTTTTGCAGGTTCTCTATCTTTAACCTTTAAACAAACCTATTTGCATAATTTATTGTCATCCTTTAGAAATCTTTTTTTTTCAATTTTATATATTACATCGAAAATAATATTAAAAATGGAAAAAAATAATTATTTACAATTATAATACAGCGTTGGAGACCATCATTTACATTTTAAATCAAGTATTTAATTTCTCAACATGTCAATCGATTTATTAATGTCGTTTCTACTATTTATGAATAAAATTTTATATTAGATTTTTACTTTTAATATTTCTATCAATTTTAGCGTTATTGGAAATTGAATAAATTTTAAAATATAATTTTTTGATTACAAAAAATTTAAAAATTATCGTGTATATCCGATAGCAATTAATGTAATTTCTCGTAAATATTTTCTAATATTACACTTAATATTACATATTTACAATGACAAATTGTGTTGTTTCTGTTAATTTTTTCTCATTACAATATTGTTCGTATTATGCATATATTCTCTTTGGAATAAATATTTATTAAGAATTTTTTCGTAATATATTGATCTGATCATCAATACAAAGTGGCCAATCATTATCAAGATATCGCGCAATAAATTCGCGCGATATCTTGATAATGATTAGCCACTTTTCTTTAAGCGCGTAAATAAATTCTGAATAATTTTGAATACTATAACAATTTAAAATGTTGTAATCATGATACTGCATGTGAAAAAATTTTAAATATAAATAATAAAATTCACTTACCATTGATTGATCCAAAGTACGATCATTTAAAGAGTAATAGGCCAAATAAGAGTTTATTGTTAGATTGGTTCTTAAGTCCGCCAGATTGTTAATGAAAGTGCAATACGACGTAAGTATACTGAAAGATCTGTACAATTATAATATTACGAAGAATCTGCATGACAGGTAAAAATCCGAGAAACAAGTTTTATAGAAAAGTTTACTCAGAGTCATTACTTTCATAAGAAACAAACCTATTTGCAGACAACTTATACAGGGTGTTTGATAATTATAATCACTCCACCGTGTAAAAGTAGAGCAGGTTAAACCAAGTAAGAAAATTAAGTAATAAAGTACGCAACATCTACAATTACTTTCCTCGATGAAAAAAAGAAAGTTTACAAAATATCGTTTTATTTTCTCGCTTTATTTTCTTCTTTTCTCGATGCTGCAATGCAGTAGCGAATTATATGAATTGTTACTTAAAAATGCAAACGAGCGCGCAAAAAAATATTTAATTTCTGAATAAAACTTTTGTAGAAAAATCAAAGGAGAATCGATGAACATATCAATTTTATTTAATAGCCATTAAATATCATGAGTATGAGTTATTGATTTACTTTTGGACAATCCCAAATTTATATTTATTCAATGAAAATTTGTGCATGCGTGAAAATGTGCGCAAGAAGAAAAAGGTCAGTGATATTGTAAAACAATTTTTGTCATGTCTTTTTATGTTTTATATGTAAATTATTTTCGATTAAACATAATTATAAACAGCTCTTAACGCTTATTAAAAAGCTGATAATTACAAGATTTAACTGCTGATACAAGATTTAGTTTCGCTTTAATTCATCGCAAGTAAAACTGAAATGTACGAGGCTGAAGCTTTTACAATCTATAATAATTAAATTTGTAATAATTAAAGATATTCGTGTATCTCAAATTAGAAAATATTAATATGCAAAAGTAATTGTATCTTCTCTTAATAGATCTCTGTACAATGTATAATAAGTATATTTTATCTGGTAACTATTATTTTGTCATTAAAAAAATATAAAATATAAAATAATACACATTACGAAAATTAATTAACCATAGATAATAAGAAATAATAAGTAATCTTTATATGTTCTAAGAAATAATAACATGTTTCTTTTGTCGCAGTTTCAGAGAAGATAGCGATCTATAAAAGATCGTAAATGATCTGTAAAAGATAAGTACGTAGATATACTTACACTGCTAAATTGTTGTAAAGACAAATTCATAGTTTTTCCAATTGTAATGGTTAGTTGTCTCTGTGATTTCATTATCACGAACAATATAATCCGACTATCTTTAGAATTTGATTCGTACCAGAATGAATTATATGCAGCATCCCCGATACTGTCACTCTGAATGGAACAAATAGAATATTAATAAAATTTCTCAAAAGTAATTAATAAACCTGTCCGTTGTGGCTGTAAAATATTTATCTTCAAATTTAACCTTGGTACTTAAATATTCTCCAGCGAAGCAGAACACAAACGCTTCCATATTCATAACAAAATAAAATAAGAGTGTCCTCATTATAATTTTTGCGGCATCCGGTGTTCCAACTGACTGGAATATTAAGAAAAAAGAATTTAATGGCAATGAGAAAACGGTGAACAATTAAAAGCAATTAACGCTCTTCACTTTGCAGATTTATTTTTGCAAGTGCTCTTCTCCGTCGTAAAAATTGTCACACTGCAAAATGGAAAAAGTACTGCTTACCGCGACCATTACAAAACCTAAACAGCAGATAATGAAAGTATCCGACACAAACAGCACCATTGCAATATTCGAATACAGATCTTCGATATACTCTGAAAAGGTGATGATTTGCTGATGTTTCTTGATTATTTTTTTTATCGTAAAAGACTCGGACTGCGCTTCTCTTTTGTTGGAAACATTTCCATCAACCATTCGCAAAGGATATTGATTTGACCACCTACGTGCAATATCTAAGGTACACGATTACAATAAAATTATTTTAAAATTATTTTATTTTATTATATTTTTTTAGAAGAATTATTTACCCATATATATATATATATATATATATATATAGGATAATTTATAAATGCATAATGTTTATAAATAATTTTTGTTATGCCAGACGGCGAATATACATATTAAAATGAATAAAAAATGTTAGATTGAATATAACTGTGCACATCATAATTTTTCTGAGTTGTAGAAAATTAAAAAAATAACTGTTTTATATATATGCTTTACATTACGTTTTAATATTGAATCCTTCACTCGCTGGACGTTGTTGGAATTTTTTCAAATCCATTTTATATATTTTCCTGTAAATTGTGAACTTTATTAGTTGTGTTGCAAATATAATTAATTTTGAATAACTCTCAAAATAAAAATGTTAAAGTAGAAAATTATTCTATTGCCTCGTCTTAGTTCTCAAACTGAAAAGAAGTTGTTTAAAAATATTCAGATTGCAAAGAGCAAAGAATAAAGTCGAAGATTTGCTTTAATCTTCCATAACTCAGAACTATATAATATGTACGATTTATGTTTAAATATTTCTTATTTAATTATTTTAGTGTTACTACATTCACCCTCTAAAGTATTGTTGCAAATTTATAAATTATCCTGTATATTGTCAATTGATTATAATTAATAAAATATTACTGAACATTTAATAATGATAATATCAATAAAATAATTTGTTAGATAATAACAATGAAAGTCACCAAATTTATTAATAAAGCGTTTAATAGACCGATTGCACAGGAGCTCAACCATACGTGAAGAAATTGAATAATTATGATCAGCTCGTATACGTATGCTCGATTGTAGTTAAATGGTAGATCCATGTCCGTAAGAAGCGGTCGAGTGGAAGTATTGGAAGCTTCATCGTCGTTTGTGTGTTTCATCACAATATTGCTACTGTGAAAAATTACAGCCATCGAATAAAGGACCACTGTCATATTAGTGAAACGTCGGGACAGCTTGGCATTGCATGTCATCGCGAACATACTGAATTTCGCGCTATAACACTTCTCCCAATCGATCGCCATCATCGTTAATATCCTGTCAAATGTTCTACGGATGGTTTTCGAATGGTCATAATCGTGAAAATAATTGCAACAAAACGTATAAATCAATAACGAAAAAGAAATTTATGTATATACATATATATTTATATTAAATATTTATATTATATTTAACTTTATTATGCTTATATTGATAATATTATCAAACAATTTACTTAATTAATAAAATTTTAAACATGAATGTTAAAACAAAATATAAAGAAAGATAATATATTTTAAATATGAAGTATAGTTTCTAATAATAAGACAAATATATTTTTACTAATATTGCATATCTCACCGTTGTTTATACCACAAAAGGATAAGTTTAATTAAGAATATCGAGTATGACAGTGTTTCACCTAACAAGTTCATTACTTCGAAAAACTCGGTCGAATGGAAATGTATTATAATATATTGATAATGAAAATATTGCTCGATTAGAAGCGCAATGATCCAGAATAATCTTCGTAACAGAACATATGACGAGTCCGGCCAAATGCCCAAAATTCGAAGGCAAATTTCCAACGATTTACTAAATATATCGTCCACTTTCATATTTCCAATTTATTATATCGCTTCTTTCAATTATTTAAAAAAACTTTGTTTTACACACACCGGATCTAAGACAATAATTTTACATTATGAGAGATACGCGTCCGATTAATCGTACGATGTGCTCGATACTGCAGCTTTGTACAGACTGAAAGAAGCTTGAAAAGATAGGAAGAACATATACCCTCCCTCGAGCGACTGCTTATTAAATATTTTGATCGCAAAGCATACGGATTTGCGTATGTCTTTGTCGTGACCCTACGATAAAAAAACATTTCCGGGGAGATGGCTGATCCTCCCTCACTCTATCTCTATCTCTCTCTCTCTCTCTCTCTCTCTCTCTCTAGGGCGAGTCGATGATGCAGCGCAGTGCGTTATTTCCTTTAAAAATTCAAGCAATAGCAGATAGCAACACACGCAAGCATACACCGGACATTAAACTAAGTTTAGTGACTGTAAGAAAATTTTTAGTCTTCGTAAAAATCGCGTGTGTTCTAAGAAACCAGAAGATACCTATTATAGTCGTATTATTTATGACTGAAAGAAAAATAGTATAATAAAAAAAGTACTTTAATTTTAAACCAAATCTTGGCTTTCTCTTCTTTTTCTTCTTTTTCATCGTTTCCTTCAACTCTGTCAGTAACAAAGTAATACAATTAAAATGTAAAATGCTATGTGCGCAAAAAGGGATAAGGTCCAAATAAAACGTTAGAATTTGGAACGGAGATAAATAAAACCTGAGAGCGAGGAAAAACCGAGTAAGTTTACTTTGTTTGATGTTATTTAATAAAAGTTTACGTATTTCGAGTTATTGATTTTCTTTCCGAGTTTATCCTTGTTTTCATACACTTGTGCAATACCCGAGATGAGAAAATAAGAAGTAAAAGTAATATTGGAACGGTTTTTATTGATTTTAATTTGTACCAATTTTTTACAATTAGATCATTAGTTAAATTTTTAACATTAATTAAAAGCAGGACATGTAAAATGCAATTTGCTTCATTCACAATTCGAAAACAAAACAAAAATATATAAAAAGTTAAAGCTTTTACAATCTGTAACAAGTTTTACTCGTTTATCAAAATAAAAGACATTAAAAATAAAATTAACATACAAATAAAAAAGATTAGTAGGATAATATTTCAAGAAAATTACTTATTTTATCAAAATACATATAAATATATGAAAAGTAGAAATAAAGTTTGTATTATATAAATTATGTTAAAAATAAATGTATGACTTTTCAGATAGAATAGTAAATTGATTTTGTGATTTTATCATCAGAGGCAATATAACTCAATTCTATTTTCGATATCCAATTTGTATTAAAAGAAAATATGACTGCACTTTTCTTTGAATCCGATATTGATGAAAAGACATGAATCTATTTCTTTAAGAATGAGTTAGAATTATTTATTATTTTATTAGAAAAATATATTATATAGTTTTTTTATTTTTATTATAATATAATATACACAATTTTTTATCTTATTCTAAAAGTGTTTCTTTTTTTCGATAATAAATCTTTTTTAAATTACCAATTTAATTTGAAAGAAAATGCAGTTTCGCTTTAATATTGACTAAAATTCCAATAAGATATGTGTATGACTTATCAAATTTTTTTATTAAAAAGAATTAAAATTGTTTATAATAAATTTTAATTTAGATATCTTTAATTTAATTTTTAATTAAAAAATAAGATTTCTCTATCGAGAAAAGTGATGATCTGTTGAGAAAAATATGATAAAGCAGATGAAGAAGAAGCGAAAGAAAAGGGAGAAGGAAAAAACACGAATTAGAAATGGTAAAAATGAAGGGAAAACAAAAGTAGGAGATAAGAAGGGGATATAAGAAGGATGAGAAAGTTGAGGTACAATGGAGAATTCCCGACTATTAAAAAAATAAGGGGTTAAAATATCTGATGAAATATTTGAAATAGTCAGAATGGCATGCAAATCCGTGAATAACACGAGGGAAAAAGATTGAAGAAGACATACAGAAACTATGTGAGAAGGAAACATGAGAGAATGAAAATTAATATTGAATAAGGTAGAAAAACGGAGAAAATAAAGAAATTTTGATAAAAGATGGATGAAAGAAATAATAAATAGAATATAGATAAAAGTTACACTTTATTATAAAGTCGTGATTATCGAGATGTACGCGAAATATGTGACTGACGATGATAAAGATATGCAATTAAAAGGAAATAAAGTAGAATAGAAAAGAATAAACGCGAGTGTGACAAAAATGTATAAAAATAAATGCGATAAAAATTGGCATACAAAATAATCGGGCATATAAATTATTGTTAACTAAAAAGCATAAATACTATCTTTTAATTAACTTCTATATGTTTAATTATAGATTTTTTTTACTAACATAATTCATTTTTTTTTGTCATAACGATAATCCTGGAGTAGACAAAGATGATACATATGCATGCATATAAATACAATACTATGAAGTTTCGATAGATTTATAAAATCGAGATATAAATTTTATAAAATAATTATTTATATTCCATATAGATTTATAAAATAATGATGTTCCATTAATAATACGAGAATAAGTGATTATCGGATAGAATAAGTAATAATTGCGCACAAAGTAATGTATTGTAATAAAGTGATGAAAACTTACGCTAATTAAACGTTTCAACGACAGATTCATAATCATCTTCCCGATCATAGTCGATAATCGCTTTTGTGATCTCACAATCAATGTCAAAAACGATATCGTTCGCCTCTTGTTCACATGTATATTGTGCCAAAGGGATTTGTAAACCATATGTCCGATATGCTGGTTCTAAATGCTAAATGTAGCAGAAAAGTAGTAAAATAGCAAAATGTGCATTTTTTTCTAACAAAATTGATCTTGATAAAACTTGGCACAGAAGAAATATAAGATTAAATAATTAAAACAGCATATATACAATTTATATGTTTTTTTACATGTAATTGTGATAAAAACAATTTACATGTAAAGTGCGTAAAAAAGAAATGAAATTAAAAAAGTATGTAATGTATAAAAATTAAAGCTGATAGCTTTCATTAAACTCATATGTCACACAGCAGAGTGTCGATTTAGTCAATTTAAATGTAAAATTTTAAATTATGTGTGTGTGAAATCGTGTTTGTAGCAATTATTAATTAAATATCACTTGTTGCAGCACTGAAATGTTTGTACGGACAAAATAAAGTAGCATTAAAATCAAATTAACATCACACGCTGATTGTCAGCTATTCCCCGACAAAGCAGAAAGTAAATAATATGACATTCCTAACGATGTTAAACAGCAATCTTTATCAAGATTGCAAAATGATCTAGAATGTTTATTAATTGCAACATTATTTGCATTGCTCTTTAAACCTCTACAGATCTCTATCTTCAACCTTTAAATGCCTCAAATGCCTTTAATTTAGTGCTAGTCTTTAGAATTTTTTTTCTTTTCTATATTGCTATCAAAAATAATATTATTAAAAATTGAAAAATCATTATTTTCGATTGTAATACAGCATTGAGATCCATTATTTATAATTTAAATAGTCTAATTTTACCGCTAATTATTTTATATTAATGCAACATTATTTTAAATAACTCAACATTGAATTTTTTAAATTTACTATAAAATTCTGTAAAATTATATCTTTATTCAAAACTCAAAAATTTATAATAATTAAAAATTTATAATCAATTTTATGATAAGATAATAAAAAATTTATAATCAGATAGAATTATATCACAATGGATAATTTTATTAAATGCGCTCATTTAAAAATTTGACTTGAATAAATCATTCGCAACGCATTAATGCGACTTATCACAATCATAATTAATTAATTATTAACTTACCAATAATTGATTTAGAAGACAATCATTTTGGAGTAATAGATTGTAGACCAAAGTAAAGTTCAGATTGCCAAATCAAGTCCACCAGATCGTCTATGCAATACGACATAAGCATACTGAAAGGTCTCTACGATGATTAAATGTTGCATACCTGAAGAATCTGCACGACAGACTAAAAGATTAAACATCCAAAAAACAAGTTCTGAAAGATATATAGAAAAGCTTGTAGTCGTCATTTTTGTAAGAAATAAACCCTTTTGTTGCTTATAAAAATACCGACGAACGTACTGTTTTCTTTCAATGGAAATTGTATTGCAAAGCAGCTAGTTAAGGATGAGAATTTTATTACGAAATCGCATGGTACGCAATTGATCGAGATCGGATGATCATTAAATATTCTATTTGCTATCGAGCGATATAAATACGATTGTAACTGTATACATCACAGTTACATCTCGATAATGGTCAAAAAGAGGAAAATTTACAACATTTGTTTCCACACGCTCGGTTTCCTCTTTCTCTCGATATTGTGACGCAATATGGCGGCGAATTATTGTATATGCGAAATATTAGTTTAAAAATGCAAGATGCGAGCGCGGAAAGTGTATTATGTTTGAGTGAAATTTCTCACAAAAAAAAGAAGAGAATATATATCAACCGGGAGTTTGACCTCATTTAATAAACATTGAATACGGGTTATTGATTTACCTCTAGACAACCCCATATTTATTCTTACTCGACGAATACGCGTGCACGCGTGCATATATACGAATGCTTGCAACACACGTGAAAAGAGATATGGTGTAATAATATCGCAAAAAACAGTTTTTGTATTTTTAAAAATTTTTTTCATGTGTAAATCTTTCTTTAATCACTAATCAACAATCAGTATATTCTATGTTTATTAGAAATTCGATCTATAAGATTTGCTTCAATACATCGCAGTCAGAACCGATACGTACGAAGCTGAAGCTTTTATAATCTGTAATAATATTATTTATTATGAGAATATATATATGTATGCATCTCGCAATAAAAAAATATTAATATTTAAATATAATACCTATCTGTTTTTGACTAAAGTCTTTAAAGCGTATAATATATTTTAAAAAATAAATATATTTTATGTGATATGATTATTAATTTATTGTGATGTGATTATTAATTTATTAGTTTATTAGTTTATTAGTTAAGAAAAAAAAAAACAATATAGAAAATTATATTTATAAAATATAAGATATATGTATGTGCATAATAATTTTTTACGTAATTACTGTATATACATATGTTCGTTTTCTCATTTCGTTTAATCTAACTAAATATATATATGCGCACGAAACAGTTATATTATT